GCAGGCAAGCAGCTCAGAAAGTGCCTGGGTGAGTCAGCCTTGAAGGTAATTGACCAGAGAGACGTGGGCGGACATCGGTGCGTGTGCGCTCGTTAGCAACAGGGAGCGCTCGAACGTGATCGTCCGAGTGGATCAAGCTAATATGTCGTAGCTAATTTTGGTCATTTTTCGAGTTTCCTATCCGTTTTGGGTGCATTACTAAGTCTTCTGCTGATCGTTGTGCTATACACATTAGCTATCATATGATATGACTATTTCTATTGACCTTATATGTGGCTGTCTCCGATTACAGGTTCAAACGAGAATTCTCAAGCTCAGTTGAAAACATTTCTTCTTCTGGTTGTCATGTTCTCTTCTCGTATAAGGTTTATCTTAGATCGCCCCACAGGTTGATCGACCACCGCACAAGAAGACTGAACTTTGAAATGTTTCAACCCATAATATCGGCACTGAACAAGTGGTCGGTCGTATCTGGTAACAACCCGAAAGCTGGAGTCTAAGTTTGTGTCAGTTTCTGGATGCAAAACTTTAATGGTTTTGGGCTGTAGTGGGGTACAAACCATCTAGGCTTTGGTAGACCGATGAACATGATCTTTCCCAGCTAAAAGGCATCAGGAGCTGAATACCGAATAGGACTAACCCTTAAAAATTTAATGATGCTTACGAATGGCCGTATTTAAAGCTTCTATTTTAATGGTTTTCTTATCTTCGATCGTAAGCCTAACATGGTGCCAAGGAATCCTAGGCTTTCCAGTAGGAATTTAAGAATAAATTTTTTGCTACTACTATTATGTTTGAGGACATTAATATTTTAAAGACAGACTTTGGTTTGAGCCACCCTTTCTGAAGCTATGTGGAGTTAAATGCGATTAGGAAGCAATAATTTTATATTCTTAAGCACTACATAATGAGTTTTACAATAAATTATGCTTGTCACATCCAACCAAATCTATGCTTATAATAGTTAAGGCTAGGTCCAGTTGGCTGTGATTTTGCACAGATTAAATTGTTACTGATTGTATTATTTTCCACAATTATATTTAGGTTATTAGTCAGTGTTGTTGACTTACACATTTCATGGTTAGACACAGGAATAGGAATCCCACTCCAAGTTCAACATTTGTTTACTTAAAAAAGCGTTGCCGCTCTAATATTCTAACTACTACTCTTCTATCAAATCCAGCCAAAAACTTGATCTAATCTCGAAAGCAATGAAAAATCTACAGTTACCCTCAGCTTGATCGTAACCCCACCTTAACCTAGAACGCAAACCTAAACCTAATTATGCTACCAAGTAGCGCATTACCGCCCGTACTAGGGAGGTTTCTATCCCGTCTTTTAATACCTACAGGTTTATGCGAAAACACCTATGCCATTGATAGTTTACTTAAATATGCATAACTTGCGGGCATTTTTTTAGACCCTTTAGACAGACAGATGCTGCTTCACTGTTCCTAACGAATGAAAAGGAAAGAGCAGAATCGTGGACCAACTACTTTTGCGGATGCCAGCAATGTTAAAATCACCCTTGCGCTTATGGGCAGTTCCACGTTCGAAGCAAACCAAAGGTTTTAGAGGTTTAAGTGTGCACCGGCATTAACCTCTGTTCGGTTAAATGTTTACAGGAGGCTCCTTACGGTAAAGCGCACTTTGGTATACGAGTGCTTATACCCTTGTGGAAGTAGAGTGCAGCGGTCATCAGCAACTAACATGGCTGTGCTTTGTTTACTTTTTACAGCCTGCCGTATCCGACTTCAGGACAGCTGAGAGAAAGTGTCAGTAGCCCTGATAGTCCGGCTGTTTATTCGGTTTTCATACAAATAGGTTACTAATGATTAAAAGTTTTTCAGACAAATACGAAGGAATAACTGAACTAATGTTTCTCTTCTTGTGTGTTTCCTCTTTATAGGACAGACTAGTCGACCCGGATTGGCAGCAGAGGGTCCTTTTACGTCATCGGTTAGCTTCCTTCCTATCACATCATATATAAATACTTTTTGAACCAAAAGCATTAAATAACAGATCGACTCCAACTTAACGATATTTGCTGGACCAATCTCATAGCCAGCTTATGTTTCTGTGATGAACATCACTGTGGTTAGATTTGCATTAAAGAATATTAAAAAAACTGATGGTTTTCAAGCAGTTTTAACCTAGATATAACCTCCCACGCGTTTCTTTTCTCTAAAGAGTATCGTCTGTCTCTCGCGTACTACTAGGAGTTTGCACTTTTCTTATATCAGTAACGAAAAGAGCTAATGGGCTAAAAGTTCTTTGTCTAAGACGAGATTATTGAAGGAAGAGTTATTTCTTTTTCACAATTTCTGATGACATAGTAATTTGAATGATTAAGAATTTTGGTTAAGCGTTTGCTACACCCTTTTGTTAATTATATGAAATATGGAATAAACTGATCCATTTAAAATCCCCTTTTAAAATTGTTTGTGCCTTCTAACGCAATTTGGCAATCTAAAACGCTTATCGCAGCGGGTGTAAGTCACTTCATTTCGGCATACCAGAAATTCTTGATTTTCTTTGTGTTGCAATAACTGGCTCGTCATTAAAGAATGCTACTATGCTGTACCTTTCGTTAAACATGCTGAGGACGATAACTACATTGCTATTGGCTATATTCTTTGAGTAAATATTAATTTCTTGTGAAATGTAGTAAATGATCAACTTGTCAGTCTATTCATTTGAGGGTTTTCTGTTGAAAGGGGTATTAAATAATTCAGTTTTCCTTTTTAATAACTTTTACGCTTAAATCTACTTTTGACGCTTCAGAGCATACACACTTGCATTGGCTTACTTGAGTGGTCTTCGCAAAGCCGGAATTTGGTCAGTGTGTACTGCACTGTAAGAGATCTTATGTCGTTTAAAGAACGATAGGGAAAATATTCACACACACATACACATTAAGCCCTTTTGAAGCAGTTCAAAATTGACCTTTTTAAAATGCCTTCAGGTCGCACGCCTGCAGGAAGAACTAGACGCCGCGAAGAAGCATGTTGCTTTCCTGTCCTGTCGACTCTCGGCTAATGTAAGTGTAGACCTCTTTGCGACAATTTAAATATGTAACTGGCATTGAATGCAGAGAAGGATAAACCAACGTTTACATTTCTAAGCAGTTGCATTAGGCTAATGATGACGTCATTCGTTAAAGTGGTGCATGAAAATGGAATCCCGACTGCGCGTTCCCCCTTCTTCTGAAGCACATGTGTGCACATAACGAATTTGGTTTTGGCGAAAGACGACATACTCGCGTAACTCTTGTTCTTTTCTCTCGCGCTTTACACGTACACAAACGTATTATAGGCATACCGATATACGCAAATTGTATCAGACGATAGTCAACTTCTCTTTTTAGAGTAACCTTCATCTATGTGGTGATTTTAATAAACTCACGGAAGTGGAGAAACATATATGACCATAACGAACCGATAGGCTGCTTATCGATTCAGCTTCTAGGGCTCCGAATGTTGGACTGTAGCTGCCCTAATGTCTAAGGGGGATAACCGATGCTACTTATGTCTACTTAAAATTTTGTGTTTGCTACGAAATATACTTTCCTCTATCTGCCCTGCTTGAACTCTTAGATCTATGTGTGGAACCTAATTTTTTGTTCGCACAACAATACCATAACCAGATAAAAGGAGCGCCGATGGGATCAGCCATGTAGGACTTCAAAGAGGCTATGCACCTATTACTAGTTAACTCCAAATTGTTGGTACGCTATGTCGGTGATACGTTCGCCATTTTTAAAAGGGACCAACTAGAAACACTGCTTAAAGCCATTAATTCAAAGATGCCAGGAATCACGTTTATGCTTGACAGAGAAGTTGACAGTAAACTCCCATTTCTTTACGTCCTCGTACAGCGGAATACTGACGGAACATTCAAAACATCGGTTAACCGCAAAATTGTATACGCGGATGTTACATACATTACGAGAGCAACCACCCTGTTGTTCACAAGCGGAGTACTGTAAGCACCCTGATCAATCGAGCAATAAGGCACATTTCTAGCGGTGAAATAACTTACTCGTTCAAACTATTTTCACAAAATTGTTACCCTAGGGAGATTGTGCATTGATGCATGAAATGGCAGGAGTTAAAACCAAAAGAAAAGGAGGCAGATTGTTCCGATCAGGTGCTCAATCCAAGGGGTTGGGGAACACTTCCATGCATGAAGAATGTGTCTGGTCTCGTTAAAAGACACCGGAGAAACTACCAGCACTGCGAAATCGGCTTTTACACCCTAAGGATAGGGTTGGCTATTTAGAGAGAAAAGAAGTCTTTTACAAAACACGTTGTAGCAGCTTCAATGCAGACAGGAAATTAGCTTCTACAGGCTTACGCGAACACCAATTAGCGGTAAATAGGCGAGATCACCTGTCCCAAGTCAGCATGCACACACTTAAAACTGGGCACAAATTCGCGTGGGACCAAATTTGCATTGTGGGCTCATGCCCATTAAGGAAAAGCCGTGATTTTTTAGAGGTCATTTACTCCAACGACTGGTGCCTTAATAGGCAGATCGAATTGGATGCAATATATATACCATTCTTATGGGGGCCTGAAAAAGACGGCAACCAATGCGAAATAGACGCTACTGACGAAACATTATTAAGCATTATCGACTTTTCTGGTTTATTTAAAATGCTCACTGTTCTGCACATTTTCCACCCCTCTGACGCCCTGGTATTCCAGAATCGAAAATTCACAATAAAGTTTGTGAGCGTTTCCCAACGCACTTCTTCTACCAAACATCAAACACACATATATATATATATATATATACATAAAACATGTATAGAACATTTACATACAACTTTGTGGCCGATCAACTGCAGTATCGGAATTCTGACCTTAACTCATTTATTTGTGTGCGAAATTGGAATGCACTGCTGTTTCCTCATTTCAAGGGACTTTTGTTTCCCTATAATGGATAAAAGTTAAATGCTTTTTAACCTTAAAAAGGAACATTGAGTTTTCCTTTGTTTTATTACCAAAAGATTTACTAAACGTCCATCCCTCTGACCTACCACTTAAATAAGCTAGACCCAATCAATGTGTTACCCTAATGCGGTTCGCTCACTTGGGTGCCAACGCAAGTGCCCATCTATCGAGGGAAGAAAGACTTATTGAAACGAAAAGGCAACAGAAATTGCGATGGACTATATGACCTTCTCAATGCCCAAAAAATTGGTTTGATTGAATATTACATTTTCGCGGCTAAAAGCGGATTAACTTGCGAATCATGTCAAATGGAGTCGAGGTAATTGCCTCAAAGCAATGATCCATCTAATAATGCCTGTACCGTTACATTTTTCTGTAGCTTACTTCAACGAACTGACAGATGGTCTTGCGCCTTTTACTGATTTATTTGAGCAGGCCTTCATCAATGCATTTTCTTCGATCCTAACATCATGGCACAGAGCTAAGTCTTGCAAAAATCCTTCCTTTTAGACCTCGGTTGTGCAGGCGTTCGAACAGAGCTTGCACAGTATGAGTACGCGCATGCAACAGATTATGAAGGTGTCATCCATAAAGGTAAGAAGGCTTTTAAAGGTCAAGCAGTCCGCATATTTTACAAAGTACAGGAATGCTCAGAGTGTACGCAACTGGATATGACGAATTTTCCTCATTCATGCATTGATGGAACGTATGTCAGTGTCGTAGATGAGCTCGTAATTTTGTGGTTGTTTAGAGATCTAGGAGCATAGATTTGGCAGATATTTACCTACTTTAATTTTTTCTGACACACCTTTCGCCCCACACGCATTAGCATTATGCATTTTTGTATGATTCTGGGGTTATTTTTCATTAAGGGGAGTTGAATAACTTATCATTGCCGATGCTTGTCCTAAGAAGTATTCAAGAAGGCGCGTTACCCTGAACAAGAACTTAATTGACCTGACGATTAAAATTCATATTCGGAGCCATCACCACAGAGAGCAATAAATACGACTAATTCATACATAGAGAGCAGCAGTATTCAAAGGATGCAGCCGCTATGCTACCGCACACCTAGGATACTTAGGACGGTGCCATCTTAATCGGGGATGACAGCCTTCTGATGTGATAATTGCCGGATGGCCGGCAGTTGAGTCGTTAATCCTCAAAATGTTATCACCCTTTTTGGGCGTTAGCGGGATGATTGCTCGGTCCTTCCAAAGTGGCTGATTATGTTTCACTTTGAGCACTAGGCGGTGTTGGAAACTGCCTTTTTCCGCGTGATTCCCGAATCGCTGAAGCAATGATGGCATCCGGCTGACGTCTCGGATTCATGCTTGGACGCATAATCCGACATGGATTCCGATAAGTGTGTTTCATGCACAGCGAGTTGTATCATTCCCACATTGGGCGAACCTTTTCAAGGTCAGTGCTTGTGAGTCAGATGGCCGAGCAATTATCACGCCAACACCCAACTTGGATGATGAAATATAAGGGATTAACAACTGTAATGCCGACCATCAAACAATTATCGCACCATATGGTGATTATCATCAGGTGTTAAGTTTCATAAACATGCGCTAGCATATGGACTGTATACTATACATAGTATAATTCCTGCGTACGGAGTACCCGTATGTGGTGCTATCCTTCTTGATGGATTAGACCTAGATTCCAAAGACTCACACAAATTAAGTTTTTTTTCTATCGATAGCATCTACTTATTCGCAATCTTGTATCTATTCAGTGATAACACACAATGATCAATACATCACTAAGATCTAAACACTGAGTAATTGCTTGCTTTTTTATAGGACAAAGAAGTGAAAGAACTGAGAAACCTCGTTGGACAACTTCGTGTTCAACTGTCGATTGCAATCGGACAGACAAACGACGGACACCGCAAAAACGACAAGGAACTAGCAGATGCTAGCGAAGTCCTTAAACATCACATCCTGGGAATCCTCAAAAGCAATGAGCACAGTAAGGTTAAAAATTAGCAGCTCCAGCGAAAGCTGCAATTTATACGAATTGTTAAGAAATGCGTGTTTCTTTAATAACTCTTGATCGCCACTTCTGTTAAACATTCATAGTGAAATGAAAGTATTAGAAGATTCAGTATAGGCAGAAGGACATGACCAGCAAAAACAGGGGACACTAGAAAGGCCTTTTCTGCCTTGTTAGGCGTCATCGGCTAGT